TAAACAAAAAAAATAATAATGTGGCAGAAGCACATAACACTTTGGACGAAGAGAAAATCAGTCGGAGAGCAGAGACTCTTTCGAGACGCAGCCGTCCTGGAGCGTGTGGCGAGATCCCTCGCATGCGTGGGAGGAGCCGGGGCGCCTGGAGAGCGACTTTCTCCTTTCGGAGCGGCAGTTTCTCACGCATGTGTGATTTTGTTCTGCAGTGGTAGATAAACCATGAACAGAAGTAGTTTAACATACATGCAATGTTTATTTTGCTCGTGGGCGTTTTGAAATAAATGCGATGCAATACATATCGGCCAATCAGAGAAGCTGATCTGGGAGCTGGCAGGGAGTCAGACGCAGCACTGCTGATGCAGAGCGCTATGATCACTCCTCTGGAACAGTTTATTACCTGAAAAACGCTAACATCTACTTCCAGCTGCCACCAACAGGAGGGGATTTGCTGAGATTGTGTTTGGTCTGAACGTAGCATTAGACGTGAATTAAACCTCAGAGTTTAACTCCAGCATACATAAAAAGGTGAGGCAGACCCTTTTTTCAGTTTTTCCTCTAATAAAATGGCTTCCAGCCTCGTTCCTGCTGGAGAATCTGGTTTATTTCTCTAATTAGCACAGAGAGCAGATTAAATCCTGGGAGAGTTTGAGGAGTAAAGAGATGCTCCGCTGCGTTTTTCTGCCTCCTACCTCTTAATCATGTGTTCATAGATGAACTTGGGCATGATGGTGATGGTCATGGTGGTCGGAGAGGAGTTCAGGATGTCCTTGATCTGGGAGTCCTGTGAAAACACAGACGTGTCAGTTGGTGTGATGACATCCAGGAAGCTTTTTAAAAACATCATTTCAGCATTAAAGACTTTGATCTGCTGAGTTGGTCGCTAAAACGGCTTAGCCCAGATTGGTTAGCATCAACATGCTAACAGCTAGCTTCTTGAAGGATTCATTAGAGCGGCTCAGAGTCAAAAGAACGACATCATCAGTGACATCATCGACCTTCTGGGTTCACTGGGAGGGACTCGGATCTGTTCGTCGTTGAAGCAGCGTTTTAACTGAACGCAAAGCCGTTTGCTTTCAGGTCAGCGTGATGATGTCACGTCATCGCTCCCTGACCGCCGCTGCTTCAAGGTTCTAACTGGGCGGAGCGCTGGTTCTGCAGAACCAGAACTTCCTGTTGATGAATACAGAAACGTTTGGATCTGCAGGATTGAGGACATAAACCACCTTCATTGTTCTTTTCATGCAGTAGCTGAAGCGGTTTCGTGGCGAGGCGGGGTCAAAGGTGAGTGTGTCTGGATGCAGGGTTCCTACAGCATGAGGCAACTTCAAGACTTTCTATACTTTAAAATACTTTAAATACAAAGTTAGGACCAACTTCTCAATAAACACAAGATAATGGACTTGTATCTGTGCTCGTCCTGTTGGATCTCAGTGCTGCATTTGAT